GCAGGCCCCGCAAAGAGGGCTTCGACGGCGGCCGACCGGCAATGCCCCGCAGCCAAACAAGGGCAAGGACCCCCGATGCCGCCCGTAGGGTCTCCATCCCCACCGGGGCGTCTGAGGGGCGGATGCACACGGATAGCGCCCTACATGTCACTCACCTCATGATTCCTCGCGCCGCAAAAACCGGAAAAGAGACTAACTCCTCCGACTACCCCGTTTTGCGCCAGCAGCTGCCAGGCTGGTAAGGAAGCGGCCAGGTCCAGGGCTTGAGCTTCAGAAACCAAACGGACTGGCAACGCATTGTAATGGCCGCGGAGAGGGTGTGATTCCTGCACGTTTGCCCCCAGACTTCCTCTGCCCACTTCCTCATGCACCTGCCGCACAAGCAGGCTTCACTCCCGACCTCTCCCCCTCATCTCGCTCTAAGGGGCGGGGGTGCGGGCGGGCTCGCGGCTTCCGAGGGAGTTGCGAGAAGGGACTTGTGGATAAAGTTATGTTCTTGGCCCTGGAAGCCTGCAGTGGGGAAGAGCTGGAAAGCACTGTGATGAACCTTCAACCTTTTCCTCTGTAACACCCACCGGCCGTTTCCTAGGGACGGGGCGCCTCGCTAGGGGCCATGGGAATATGAAGGTGTCAGACAGACACGGCCGCAGTGTTGACAACCCTCTGCCCTTTCCTGTTCAACAGGCCCATCCTCCTCTGCCCACAGTAACCCAGGAGTCTATCCCTACGCAAATGTCTTCCCCCCAAAAGCCTTCCCCAATTGCAGACTCACTCCCACCTCTAAGCCCCGCCCCTACCCAACAGACAGCTAATAGGGTGGGTGGGTGGTAGCACACACTCTGGCCCACAGAACTGAATGAATGAATCTCAGAACTGTACCACCTCCCTCAGAACATTTCACTGGGGAAAGATGCCCCTTGTCACTGCGCAGGTGGAGTGGTGGTAGGGGTGGGGGATGAATTAATTTTCAACAAATACCAGAGCTAATAGGAAGGAAGGCACTGCTTACAATGACACATTATTGAACTTCCTGGTTTTTATTAAATACCATTGATAATTATTCAAGTCAGAACAATTCAGGGGATCATAACACGCACTGCAGCACAAGAGATTTGTGCTGAGTGCTAAGCACAGGGGTCCCCCTAGCTCACAGGGGTCTGCTGTGACGTTGCTGGGCTTATAGGAAAGCTGGTTGCCGAAGCCTGAGGCAGAAGCGACAAGGAGTGAGCCAGGGTCAGCAGCCCTTGGAAACCAGCTCATCCAGCCCCCTCAGCCTGTACCCTCCCTGCTGGCTGGGAGGTCAAGACGGCCTCTCTGCAGCCTGGAACAGGGAGGCAGTTGATGCCTGAATGGCCAGGTTCGGCCTTCACCCCAGGCAAGGGTCAGGGTGAGGGTAGAGTGTCCTTCAGGAAGCTGGTGTCCCCGGGTGGAAGGTCAGGGGGCCAGATGTCTCAGGGCGGCCTGCAGGGACTTCCTCAGGAAAGTGGTGTTGAGCGACAGGGGGGCGGCCAGGCTCAGCCTCTGGGTCTCAGTGATCTAGGGAAAAGGAAGAAATGTCAGGATTCCGGCAGCTGATCCCTCCCCTCCCATCCGACCCCCGGCCTGTTCAGAAAGGAAAGGAATCCAGGGAATAAGGACGATGGAAGGAGGCAAGGACCCCCTGAGCAATCGAACCTCATTATTTCGCTGTCTTTGGATTCAGGTGGACCTGGGCCAAATAGTGCCCATCACTAAGTCAGCCACAGTAGTAACAGCTGACAGCTGAGCGCTCCCTATGCGGCAGCACGTTATATGCATTAGTTCATCAACCCTCACAACCCTCCCGGCTACAGACAGGAAACGGCGCTGCCACCTTCCTCCTGGGCCACACTTCTTCTTCCCTGACCTGTTGCTACAACCTCCTGGCAGGTCTCCACCCTGCATCTTCCCTCCAATCCCTCCTCCTTACAGAGGCCAGAGGTTTCTCTATAAAATGCCAATCTGACCCCGTCACTCCAGCTGAAGGCCCTGGGATAACTCCGAGGCCTCATACTGGAGGCCCTCCTTGCAGGACCCAGCCTCCTATACGTGTTCCTAAAATGTGTGTTCACATATTCATTTTCCAGGGAGGAGCTATAGCTTTCATCAAATCATCAAATGGGCCTGTGACTCCCAAGAAAAGGGTAAAGAGCCAACAGCCAAGAATACCTGGCCTTCAAGATAAGTCCAAGTTCCTCACCATAACTTACAGGGCCCCTCATGAGATGCTATCGTGGCCTGGCAATGTGACCTTGGACAACTTACATCTACCTGAGTCTCAACTTCCTTATCTATAAAATGAAGCTAATAATAGATAGTCTCATAGTGCTGATGTGTGGAGTAAACTAGGGAGTTAACATATATAAGGGCTTAGAACAGTGCCTGAGATGTAGCAGGGGCTATGCAAGTATTAGCTCTTGGTATTTTAGATCTCTAACCTCAACCCCTACCACCATCAACTCTCATACTTTTAGGCCTCAGCTACAATGAACTACCTGTACCCCTCAGACATTCACTGCTTACACTGTTTCCTTTGCCTGGAATGCCCTTTCCTCCACCTCAGCCCTTGACTATCACTCACCTTTTAAGAGTCAGGAGGCCTGTCCCAATTCAAAAGGTTTAGTTGCCCCCTCTTGCTCTGTCATCAAAAGCCCCGAGTATACTCTCACCTGACTCCTACCGGATATTACAATGATCTGTTTATCATCTCTCCTTCCCCTCTTGGTGGCCCGGTGTTAGGGGAGAGGGTCAAGTTAAGGACAAGGGCTGTGATATGGTCACTGTTGATTCCCCATATGGCACCTGGCCCACAGCGGTGTTGGCTGGATGAGCAGTCTCATTGCCTAGTCCCAGGCTTGAACTTGTGGGTTCCCTGGCTAACACTGAGGGTTTCCTCCCTGGCAAACAGATGTACGCCCTCATGGCAGGTTCCGGGCAGCAGGGCAGCCCTCATGGCCCCATCAGCACTCACATTGGCCTGATACTTGTTCATCACTGTCAGCATGAGTTTGGCGTAGGCCATGGACGCAGTGGCTGCCGGCCCCTCTTTGCAGAGCCTGTCCATCAGCACATTGAACTGCTCGGGGGTCATCTCCACCTGCACACATCGGGAGGGGGAACAGCAGCACAAGAACAGGCCTTGCATTCACTTCCCAACTCTACCACTTACTAACCGGGTGACCCTATGCAGATCACTTAACCAAACTAAGCCTCAGTGTCCACCTCTGTAAAATGGGGCTCATGAAATCTAACTCTGAAGCCTGTGAAAATGATTAAATGAGATAATGCACATAAAGCCTGCGCATAGGTCTCAGAAAATGGCGGCTAGCGTTGCAAAGTCTGATTAGGACCAAGGGAGACCAAGGATCCCTAGCCTGGATCAGTGCTTGAAGACATACAGAGCGGTACTGCCAGCATAACAATAGCTCTGATAATAATAATAATAATAATAATAATTTAATAAACATTATTATGCACCAGGCACCACTCTGAGCACTTCACACCAGTTATCCCACTTAAACCTCACCCCAGTCTTGTGTGGTAGGTGCTATCATCACTCCCCTTTAGATGAGGAAACTGAGACAGAGAGAGGTTAGGCCAACACCTAAGTTATAAACAGATGAGGCAGAATCTTAAGTACTGATGGAAAAATTGCCAAAATATATATTAAGTGAATAAAGCAGAATACAGCGCACTGAGCTTGGTGTTACCATCTATGTAAGAAACAAAGGAAAAGTACATCTATACATGTGTCCTTGTAAAGATAAGCATCTCTGGGAGGGTCCCCTGAAGCTAAGAACACTGGTTCACCCCGGGGAAGGGCATGTAGACGGCTGGGGAATATTTTTCACTATTTCCTCTTTGAGCTTCTAAAATTGTGAAGATATGAATTTATTACCTATTCAACAAGAAAACTATTTATTTATTTTGTTCATCTTCACCCAGGGATATTTTTCCATTGCTTTTTAGAGAGAGTGGAAGGGAGGGAGAGAAACATTGATGTGAGAGAGACACACCAATCGGTTGCCTCCTACAAGCGGAGCCACGGATCGAGCCTCCAGCCCAGGTAGGTGCTCTAACCACTGAGCTACCAGCCAGGGGAAGTACAACTTAATTGAAACGCACATATCAGAAAGTTGCTCCCCAAGGCCACAGAGCCAGTAAGAGGCAGAGACAGATTTACCATGGAGTCAGCTCTCTGCTACCAGCCTTTGAGGCCCCAGGACTCTCCCACAGCCATGGGGCACCCTGCTGCCGGGCAGCTGGCCTACCTGCCCCTCCATCACCAAAGGGATCAGACCCGCAGGCGCCCCACACCCGTCCACAGCCCTGCAGCACTTCTCTGTCCTCTTCCCCAAGGCAGCCTGCTCACCTGCCGCTCCAGGAGTGACTGCAGCACCAGGAAAGTCTGCTCCCTCCAGGGCACCTCCAAGATCTGTCTGCGAAGCACAGGCCCCGGTGGGTAAA